TGTGAAAGAGCTAAAACATTCAATGGAAGGGAGGCTAAATCCTGACGCTGGGCCTGCAGCCCTTAGGAACCCAGAGAGCACTGACTACGTGACCTCCGGATGAGCGTGTGCAGCTGGACAGTTAGACTCCCTTCCCGATTTCCACATAGAGCAGGTCTCTCTGTGTCGCCCAAGCTAGCCTCAATCTTCCTGCCTCAGCCTCTCAAATAGATGGGACTACTGGCATCTACTGGCATGTGTCATGGTGCCAACACAAGCTTTTTTTTTTGTTTTTGGTTTTGGTTTTTTTGAGAATATGTATGCCAACCCATGCAAGATTCACTTCTTACTGGGGAAAACATTACAGAAGCAGAAATCATAACACCATGGGGTTAGCTTAGTGGTAAGACAGATGCAATATAAGAGAGAGGGTCAGGATTGGGCTGTTCTTGGAAAAGGTAGGGAAAATATGCCACAGATAAAAGACTTGATTTTGGAATTAGGGAGACTCAACCTAAAAATGATTTTTGGTCACAAATGATAGAAGACCCAAATCAAGCAATCTTGAAAAATGAAATTAATTTTCTCATATGAGTCAAAGTTCAAAGGAAGGGTGGCTTACCATTGTATTACCATGAGGGTCACCATGTCTTCAGGGATGGAGTTCCGTTTCTCTTGCCCTCTATGAGTCAACTTCTTTCGTAGATTGACTTCCCTCATGGGAACAAAATAGCTGCTGCAGAACCAGACCTAACATCCACACACCAAACTGCCCAGATACCTAGCATTCCCAGCAAGGGAATGCTGAGCTTCACTCTGTTGGCCTGGCTTTAGTCATGAGCCTACTCCTGGTCCAGTTGGCTGTGGCCAGGGGCATGGAGTACACTGCCATTTTTAAGGAGGTCGCAGCCCCAGTCCAGAAGCCAGGGATGGCATTGGATGTTTGGAATGGAGAGAAGAGATGAACGCAGTCAGTGAATACCTGCCACACACAGGAAGCAGAATGTCCAGTGGGGCTTGTGAAAACCTCATGTGGGAAATGTTGTGACCCAGTGGATAGAAAACGATCCCAGCTTTTGAAAACTGAGAAGCAAAAACCTATCTTTCAGGGAAAGAAAAGTCAACCCTCATCATTCCTAGCTTCTGGGATACATTAGCCAAGAGCCTCACGGGCTTGGCTAGAGGCTCCTCTCGACTGAGGAGAGGAGCACTTGGGATAGTTGATGTTATGCTGCAGTAACAAACAACCCCCACATCTCACTGGTGCTCCTGCATGTGAAGACTGGGGATCCTGGGCAAAAGGGATCTCACCAACGTGCAGCTGCGCTCTCTGGAGCATACAGCACCCCGGAACCAGAATACAAGGGGGGAGCCACTGAAGGGCCCAGCCCTACAACTCTGGTGCCTCCTGAGAGTGATGCTCTGCACTTTTGCCCACGTTTCATTGACCAAAGCAAGTCCCATGCCACACCTCACACCAAGGAACAGGTCAGCGTCTGGTTCAAGTGGAGGGGGACTGAGGACTGTGAGGAGCACCCGCTACAGTGGGATTGGGATCCCAGGAGCAAAGAACGTGTCAGGTGGCGCGCCTGCCGCCTCTGCTTGAAGCAGCAGTCTCTGATTCCGGCTGCCACACGCAGGAGCCTTTTTCCAGAAGAGGAGGAGACTGGCAATGGAAAGATTAACCGCTCCTTGGGTTCCACACAGGGATCAGTATTTTCAATAGTACTTTGTGAGTTCAGCCTCAAAGTAAATGGTTAATTCATCTTATATCAACAGCACTGTGATTCATAATGTAAACTTGGAGAATTTTTGATGTTTCGGGCCCACATTCCTTTTAATTTGGCTCTGCATTCTTTTAAAGCCACAGTGTGCTCACTTAATAGAATGCAGCATGCAAATGCACAAGTTTTTGCCTGGAGGCATTTAGCCTGGCTGTTTCAATGGATGTCTTCTTTCAAGTGTATACTCTTTCTTAAATTATTTACTGGGTAAACACACTTTGCATTTTCAAAAGGGAGATTAAGACTGCTTGCTGCAGACCTAGTTGAACATCAAGGCCCCGATGCCCAAAGTTAGGAGGAAGTTTCTCGATCTCACTAGCCGGAGCCCCTCTCCTGGCTTGTTTTTCGGATTCTCTCCAAACTGTTCCTTTCTGCTTTGCTCACGGCTGTAATTACTCTGGGCTTCGTCACCGATGGGACCACCACTGCCAACCTTTGCTTCCTCCCTCCAAGCTGGCTCAGATCTGTCCTCTCAAGTGCCCTCACAGCTCACTTTTCTGGTCTTTCAAGAGGTCCAAAGCTGGGTTGATGACCGGCCAGTCATGCTCCCTTAACCACCCTCTCTGTTCCAACTCTCTCTGCCCCTCGGTCCCCCTTGTCCCCAGTATCTGGAATCCTTTCCCTAGGAAGAAACCTCCTCAGCAGCACACACCTGTGGTCCTAAGGACCAGGCCTTCTCCTGGGCTCAGGGAAAAGACCCAGTTGTCTCTGAGAAGGCGCCATGGTTACAGTCCCATCTGCGGAGCTGGTCGCACCATTTCCATGCAGACGCCATTACATTTTCCTGCGTATAGAATGAGCTCAGCTCCCTTCTCCACTGCCCTGGAATGATCATCATGCTCACCAGGGGCAGCTTCCTTCCACCAGCATTCTTTGGACAGTTCTCTTTTGAATCCCTGAGTATCAACCACCGTGTGGTGTGCTGAGGCTTCAGAGGTGAATTCTGCAGGTTAGGTCCACAGAAGCAGCAGAGAGGGTGGTGACAGGAAGCCGGCAGTCCCTGTGGATGCACAAGCAGTGGAGAAGCCCAATTAGGAAGGCCAGGAGGAGCTGAGAAGTTAGGGATTGCTTTGTGTTCAGGTTCCTAACCATGTCTCGGATTAAACAAGTAACACCCACAGTTAATCCTTTATAAATTAGCATCATGGATGCCTTGGGGCCCTCAACCCACAAATAAAATGGTTGTCAACCAAGCCGTACCAGAGACACTACTGTATATCACTTAAGGCAGAATTTAAAAAGAGTTTTCATGCTTTTAATCTGTTTCACTGCTGAGTTTCAATTTTGCTGATTTCCTTTGCAAGTCTGATGCGGGTGACGGTGGTAAATAGAGATTTTGACAGCAGCTCGGGCAAATGGGATGTGGAGGGACTGTTCTGAAGGCTTCTGTCCCTTCCAGAGAAAAGGGGGAAAAAATCACTTTGAGTCTTAAATGAAGCCACCAAGTAGCGCCGATCAGTGTTCATAATTAGCCTCACTTCAATAAGTCGTGGAGCCCTGTTTTTATTTACTTATTTGGGGGACAGAGAATCTTCCCTCCTCGCGAGTAAACATGGCCTGTTAAGTCCGAATTAGCTGTCATCACAGAAGAATTAATGTCGGGGCGCAGACTTTCTGGTGGGGAAGGGAAGAAATGAGGGAGACAGATCTTAGCGAGCCCCGCGTGATAAATGAGGACAGAGCAGACCATTCATCTCCTGCGAGGAAAGTGGACAGAGGTACTAAGGCAGTTTTGCGGAAGACGTGTCAGCAAATGTGATCATTTTGTAACCTGTCAGGAGGAGTGGGAGCTGGTCCTGTTAGGGGCCACGAGGGAGCAGGTCGCTCTGATGTGACAGGTTCCATCCATCCGTTTAGATGTGGGGAGGCAGGGGGTGGTGAGCAGGACTCCTGCCCGTGCTCCAACCTGGGGTCATCCTTCTTCCAAGAAAAACCTCCAGATGCTAGAAAAGACTGCGGATGTCCTGCCAGGATTTCTTTGTGATGACACAAAGCAAGAGTAGGTCCCATTCAGTTGGAGGCCTGGCCTGGTCCCACCACGGTCCTCCCTGCAGAGGACCCTTGTCCAGTGTCCAGCATCTGGAATGAGGCCCAGCCCTCCTTCCCACCCCTGGAGCTGCGGGACTGCTGGGCAGCGTTGGCGTGGGGCTTCAAGCAGGGTGGGTGGCCCGCTAGACGGCTGCCACTCTGGGTTTCTATTTCTGTGTGGCTCTGTGCGAGCAAGCGTGGGCGAGGCTGGTTGACCTAGGTTCCCTTTGAAAGTCTCAACAAAGCATTCTGATGTGCGACCTCTTTTCTCCGAATGAGGTAACAAATTATGAAACAACCTCATCGGAAGCTCTCTGCAGGCTTGCGGGAGCCACGTCCTCGCTGCTCCTCCTGAGGTCAGCTCAGCAGGGCCAGACCGAGGCGGCTGAGGATCCCTGGAGGTGAGGGCCACCCACAGACACTCGGCAGGCACCTCAAGGACTTTGTATTATTTTTCATTTCTGCCTCTGCTCGCTATGGAGCCGAAGTAAGGTTTCCTCCTGGCTCCATGGAGCTCGAGCCACGGTGACAGGTGCCTGTTTCACAGCCTCAGCTGCCGGTTTCACAGCCTCAGCTGCAAGTTTGACACTTGCTTCTTAATCCTGTCCTTTCTTGCTAAGTCTCTCTTTTCCTTTTCCCCAGGTATTTTTGCACAGGTAAGTGCCTTACTGACATATGTTTCCTTGGAATCTCTTCCTTTCACGAGAAACAGTGCAAAAAAAAAAATGAGGCTTGTCTCACATTTTAAATTAAAAAGAGAAGCTCACCTGGGGCCCTTGATCACTTAAAGAGACTACATGGTTCTCGGAGCCTAGAAAGCCATTTGATTCCCGTTAACTTTGCCGTGTTTCTGAGTGCCGTGTGACAAACGCTCTGGAGCTGTTCCTAGAACCAAAGCCGCCTGATCTCTCTCTGTCTCTCTCTGTCCTCTCTCTCTCTCTCTCTCTCTCTC